CAACCTATGAATTTGGCAGGGGAGACACAAACATTAAGTCTATGCTACTATGAAACACATATTTGTATTTTGATTAAGTGCAATTCACGTTTTTTTTTTTTTTTTTTTTTTTGCTTTTATTTGTATGTCAAGTATTTGGTCTCCAACTCCATTTCCTGGCACACAGCTCCTAAAACCCTTAGAATCCCCAAAGTGACATCTTTGTGTATGTTAATAAGTGGACTAATGGCTAGCTGCTCCTCAGTAACTTTAGGCTGGGGCTGGTCACCAGAAAAACCAAGGCATGATTAAGTGGTTAGTTCTTTCAGCCTCATCTCCCAATCTCTGGGAAGGAGAGAGGTACTCAAGCTTAAATTTCTCATCAATGGCAAATATTTTAATCAATCATACCTACATAATGAAGCCTCCATAAAAACCCAAAGGACCAGACCTAGAGAGCTTCCAGACAGATGAACAGGTGGAGGTTACCGGAGGGGGCGCTCACCCAGGGAGGGCATGGAAGCTCTGTGTCCCATCTACCACACCTTGCCCTTTGCCTCTCTTCCCCTCCCCTCTCTTCCTCTCCCCTCTCCTCTCCTCTTTTTAAAGACAGTCTGGCCAGGTGTGGTGGCTCACTCCTGTAATCTCAGCACTTTGGGAGGCCGAGGCAGGCAGATTTCCTGAGGTCAGGAGGTCGAGAACAGTCTGGCCAACATGAGGAAACCATGACTCTACTAAAAATACAAAAAATTAGCCAGGCATGGTGGTGTGTGCCTGTAATCCCAGCTACTCAGGAGGCTGAGGCAGGAGAATCGCTTGAACCCAGGAGGTAGAGGTTGCAGTGAGTCGAGATTGTGCCATTGCACTCCAGCCTGGGTGACAGAGCGAGACTCCGTCTCAAAAAAAAATAAAAATAAAAATAAAATCCGGTTTTCCCAATACAATTTCTTGAAAACCACCTCCCCACTGATTTTTTTTTTTTTTTTTTGAGACCGAGTCTCACCCTGTCACCCAGACTGGAGTGCAGTAGTGTGATCTCAGCTCACTGAAACCTCTGCCTCTTGGGTTCAAGCGATTCTCTGCCTTAGCCTCCCAAGTAGCTGGAACGACAGGTGCACACTACCACACCTGGTTAATTTTTGTATTTTCAGTAGAGACGGGGTTTCACCATGTTGACCAGGCTGGTCTCGAACTCTTGACCTCAGGTGATCCACCCGCCTCAGCCTCCCAAAGTGCTGGGATTACAGGCGGGAGCCACTGTGCCCAGCCTGCTTGGTTATTTTTGACTGACCTGCTCATTGTATTTGAAAATTATTTGTGAGAATAATTTGAGGCCTAGGATGATGACACCCAAATTGTCCCTTCAGACAAGTGTTTTGTTTGCTTCTATCAAGCACTTAGGGGCACTACTACGAATCCAAGGCCACTTTAATTCAAGTTCAAGACTTTCATCTCATTCTTCTTTTCTTTTTTCTTTTTCTTTCTTTTTTTCTTTCTTTCTTTCTTTCTTTTTTTTTTTTTTTTGAGACAGGGTCTTGCTCAAGTGCACCGCAGTGACACAATCGTAATTTACTGCAGCCTCCATCTCCCTGGCTCAAGTGATCCTCCCACCTCAGCCTCCCAAATAGCTGGGACTGCAGGTGCACGCCACTAGGCCTGGCTAATTTTTTAATTTTTTGCAGAGATGGGGTTTCACCATGTTGCCCAGGCTGGGCCCCAGTGATCCTCCCGCCTTGGCCTCCCAAAGTGCTGGGATTACAGGAGTGAGTCATCGTGCCCGGTCTCAAGGCTTGCGTTTCTTGAATCACTCAAGATTTGGTTTTCATCTGGTTCATCCTTGTTCTGAGGATGTCTCAAAGGTATTGTGGGGTATCAGGCTCCTCACCTCAGACAGAAGGCTGGGCTTGCCTTTTATCCTGCCCCTCTCAGCCCCCATGAGGCCATCAAAGCTACAGCTCAGTTTCAAAGCTGTTTCTTCCGGATTGGCAAATGCCCTCAGGAAAAATGTGGCTTTCTTCTCTGGATTCTTACCTTCTCCTCGCCTAGATGTTTGATAAGGGATTCTTTCTTTTTCCTTTTCTTTTTTTAAGACAGGGTCTCACTCCGTCATCCAGGCTAGAGTGCAGTGGTACAATCACTGTAGCCTCAGCCTCCCTGAGCTCGGATGATCCTCCCTCCCTCAATCTCCAGAGTAGCTGGGACTACAGGTGCATGCCACCATGCCCGGATAATTTTTGTATTTTTTGTACAGATGGAGGTCTTTGTATGTTGGCCAGGCTGGTTTTGAACTCCTGGGCTCAGGCGATCTGCCCACCTTGGCCTCCCAGAGTGCTGGGATTACAGGTGTGAGGCACCTAGCCTGTCTGATAAGGGATTCTTACTGCCTTGTTAATTAAACAACAACAACAACAACAAAAACAAAAACAAAACACACTTTTTTTTTGTTCAAATGGGGTTCTCACTATGTTGCCCAGGCTGGTCTTGAACTCCTGGCCTCAAACGATCCTCCCACCTCAGCCTCCTAAAATGTTGGCATTACAGGTGTGAGCCACTGAGCCCAGCCAGAAGATGGTTTTTAAGAAACTGGATCAAGGGACTTTAGTTGTCCTCAGAAGGAGTGTTGGTTCAAATTACAGATCCTATCATGACTCAAAGCCGAAGCCCCTGCAAAGCTGTAATTTCTCACAGGCATCAGGCTGTGCCTAGCCCAGGATGAACCCTCTCTCTATCTATCTCCAATCTCAAAGCTCTGCACAGACCTTTGCCACCAGAAGCCACCCTAAGTCAAGGTCCCTTGCTCTCAATTCTGGTCCCGAGGGTGTACGTCTCCATCACTGTGGTCATTCACCATCCAACATTTATGTGGCACCCACCTACGCCAGGCCCATCCCAGGCACTGAGGATTCAGCTGTGAACAGGACAGAGGCAGGTCCTTACCCTTGAGGAGGCGAATGACAGTAGGCGACAACCCCGTGTGCCCAAGTTTGGGAGGGAGAAATAGAGCCACGGGATGCATTGCAAGGAAGTCCAACCAGGAGAGGCTTCCTGGAGGAGGTGATATGTAAGCTGAGGCTTGAAGGATGTGTGGCAATTATCAGGCAAACAGGAATATGGGAGCAAAGGGCGTTCCAAGCAGAGCGAAGGACATCTGTGAAGGTGCACAGTAGTGAATCAGAGTGGAGTGTGAGGGAGGAGGGCACTGACGGGTGAAGCTGGAGGTGGGTTCAGCACCCTTGTCAGGCTTTGTGAATTCCTCTTTTCGGTTTGTTTGTTTGTTTGTTTGAGATGGAGTCTCGCTCTGTTGCCCAGGCTGGAATGCAATGGCGCAATTTCGGCTCACTGCAACCTTCACCTCTTGGGTTCGAGTGATTCTCCTGCCTCAGCCTCCTGAGCAGCTGGAACTACAGGCACCCGACACCATGCCTGGCTAATTTTTGTATTTTTAGTAGAGACAGGCTTTCACCATGTTGGCCAGGCTCGTCTCAAACTCCTGACCTCAAGTGATCCTCCCGCCTCGGCCTCCCAAAGTGCTGGGATTACAGGCGTGAGCCACCGCGCCCAGCATGAATTCCCCTTTTCCCTCTTCCCCTCCAAAAGATGGGGCTGGAAGCCTGGAGGATCCCACACTTGAGGGAAAGCGACCTCCCTGGATCTTCCATGTGAAATGATCCCTTTTTGGAAAGGTCACTGCCCTTGGCGCACACATCAGTCCTCAGCTTCTGCCACCTTCTCTTTCTGCCCAGGGCAGAACAGAGGATGCCACATCCCCTTGGCGAATGAGAGGCAGGATTTGAGGCTGAATGGAGCTACAGAGACTGTCTTCCTCAACTGCTTGCCAGCGTCCTCCTTATAAGCCCCGAGGCTCCGCCGGGCCCTTCCTGTGGCACCTCCGGCTCTGTCCTGGCCATCCTGTTTGACTTGGATGTGGTCCCTGATCCAGGGAACGAGGAGGGATGGGAATGGAAGGGTACGGAGCCCTGACCTTGAACCCTTGGAAATGGCCACAAGTAACACTTCTTCCTACCCGGCCAACAGTGTAGTGATTGGGGACACATGGGATCCCTGGACCTCACCTGCTCCTCAGGTTACCCCAGCGTCAAACCTGGAAGGAAAAGGCTTGGTTAACCCTCAGGGAACCAGGGCTTGATAGAGGAGACTAGAAGATTCCTGTCTTGACCACTCAAAGTTTGACAGAAGGGAGGTTTTTGTTTTGTTTGTTTGCTTGAGACTGAGTCTCACTCTCTCACCCAGGCTGGAGTGCAGTGGCGTGATCTCAGCTCACTGAAACCTCTGCCTCCCAGGTTGAAGTGATTCTCCTGCCTCCACCTCCCAAGTAGCTGTGATTACAAGCACATGCCACCATGCCCGGCTAATTTTTGTATTTTAATCGAGATGGGGTTTTACCATATTGGCCACGCTGGTCTCAAACTCCTGACCTCAGATGATCTGCCTACCTCAACCTTCCAAAGTGCTGGGATTACAGGCATGAGCCACTGCACCTGGCCGATAGCAGGGAGTTGAGTGAGTAGTTTCAACTGGGGAAGGGTTCCCTTCAATCATTTATCCCACTTGCAGAGGCAAGACTGAACCTGGATCTCCTGACTCCTGGCCCAGTGCTTGCCGACTTCTGCCATCCTCTCCACACAGATGCATGATGGTGGTGATGGTGGTGGTGATGGTTATGGTGGTGATGGTGGTGATGGTGGTGACAGTGGTGATGGTGGTGATAATGGTGGTGATGGTGGTGATGGTGGTGGTGGTAGTGGTGATGCTGGTGGTGACAGTGGTGGTGGTGGTGGTGGTGATGGTGGTGATGGTGATGGTGGTGGTGGTGACGATGGTGGTGATGATGTTGATGGTGGTGACGATGGTGGTGATGGTGGTGACGGTGGTGGTGATGGTGACGGTGGTGACGGTGATGGTAGTGATGGTGGTGGTGATGCTGGTGGTGACAGTGGTGGTGGTGGTGGTGATTGTGGTGATGGTGATGGTGGTGGCGGTGACGATGATGGTGATGATGTTCATGGTGGTGACGATGGTGGTGACGGTGGTGATGGTGGTGATGGTGGTGGTGATGGTGGTGACGGTGGTGGTAGTGATGGTGGTGGTGATGGTGATGGTGGTGGTGGTGGTGGTGATGGTGACAGTGGTGATGGTGGTGATGGTGGTGGTGGTGTTGATGGTGGTAGTGGTGATGGTGATGGTGGTGATGGTGGTGATGGTGGTGGTGGTGGTGGTGGTGATGGTGGTGACGGTGGTGATGGTGATGGTAGTGATGGTGGTGGTGATGGTGATGGTGGTGGTGGTGATGGTGGTGGTGGTGATGGTGACAGTGGTGATGGTGGTGGTGTTGATGGTGGTGGTGGTGGTGGTGATGGTGGTGGTGGTGATGGTGGTGGTGATGGTGGTGGTGGTGTTGATGGTGGTGATGGTGGTGGTGGTGATGGTGGTGGTGGTGACGGTGGTGGTGGTGGTGACGGTGATGGTGGTGGTGGTGTTGGTGATGGTGGTGGTGGTGGTGGTGGTGGTGATGGTGGTGACGGTGGTGACGGTGATGGTAGTGATGGTGGTGGTGATGGTGATGGTGGTGGTGGTGGTGGTGATGGTGGTGGTGGTGATGGTGACAGTGGTGATGGTGGTGGTGTTGATGGTGGTGGTGGTGGTGATGGTGATGGTGGTGCTGATGGTGGTGATGGTGGTGGTGGTGATGGTGGTGGTGGTGGTGATGATGGTGATGGTGGTGGTGACGGTGGTGGTGATGGTGGTGGTGACGGTGGTGGTGGTGGTGACGGTGATGGTAGTGATGGTGTTGGTGATGGTGATGGTGGTGGTGGTGGTGGTGGTGATGGTGGTGATGGTGGTGGTGGTGGTGATGGTGGTGATGGTGGTGCTGGTGTTGATGGTGGTGGTGGTGGTGGTGATGGTGGTGGTGGTGGTGGTGATTGTGGTGGTGGTGGTGGTGGTGGTGGTGATTGTGGTGGTGGTGGTGGTGGTGGTGGTGGGTGTGTCAAGGCTTGCATTTGGGCTGTGGTGAATGGAGTTGCAGGGCCAGCAAGGAGTTAACCGTCTCCACCCAACAACCTGGAAATGCGGCCTCCTGGGAACAGCTGGCGATGACAAGGCCCTTTCTCACCTTGTCATGCTTCACTGGAGGCTGACATTTTCCTGGCCCCTGGCTCCAGAGGCATCAACAAAATGGGCTGAACAAAACACGTCTCGTTCAGTTGTTCTAAGACCTTGTTAATGCCTTCTAGCCAAAGACCACCAGAAACACACCTGGACAAAGCTGAGTTTACTGCTCATTGATACGAAGGAAGACGCACACCTCAGGAAAGCGAGGGGTGTCTAAGAGGGTGCAGGAAGGACTTAGAGGATTCGGGCTCATGTTGGATGCTTTTGAGGAGGGTTCAGGGAAGTGGAGTTTGCTCTGAATTTTATTCTGTCACGAAGGGGGAGGTCATTCTGTGATTGGAGATCTTAGGAATTTTTATCTACAGGGGGAGAGGAGTGAACTGAAACCAAAACTGTAATTGGCAAAGAAACCATCGTCATTTGTTTAGCCAGGAGAGAGGGACGTTTGCTCATTTTTGTGATTCTGGTCGCCTTTGTTTCTTTTTGTCTGTGTTCGGATATAATTGTGAAATGGTCTTGTTTTTTGTCTTGATCATCACGGTCATAGGGTGACCTTGTATAATGCGGGTGATCTGTAAAATGGAGTCTCTCTAACAGGATCACACCAAGGGTTAGCTGGGGGGGCCAGGCAGCCCCAGGCTGTCAGGGGTCGCTTCCCTCTTTCTTCATTTGAAAGCAAACAGCATGGAGCCCGGAAAGCTGGCCGCATGGCACAGGATGCTCATGAGGGGCAAATCTCAGCCAGGTGTCATTCGCGAGCCCTCAGGCTGCAGAGGAGGCTCTGCTGAGGTCAGGAAGCTGAAGAGCATTTGGCATCAGATGGGTCCTAATCTTGACTGACTGCTCATGCTTTTGGTCGCTTTGCAAGTCACTTTCCCCTTTGCAACTTCATTCTTTGAACAAATATTTAGTGAACAGCCATTGTATGCCAGGTTCTGGGGACCTTGGGCCAGTGCCTTAACTCCCTGGGACTCAGTTTATCCCTCTAGAAGATAAGACTATTACAGCCTGGACAATAAAGCAAGACTCTATCTCTACAAAAACAAAAATAAAAAAAATTAACCAGGTGTGGTGGTGCATGCCTGTAGTCCCAGCTACTCAGGAGGCTAGGGTGGGGGGATTGCCTAAGCCCAGGAGGTCAAGGCTGTAGGGAGCTGTGATCACGCCACTGCCCTCCAGCCCAGGCCACAGAGTGAGACCCTATCTCAAACAAAACAAAACAAAAGAAAACACACACATGCACACACACAAAACAAAAATCAAAACAAAAAAAAAAAGAAAGAAAGAAAGAAAATGAGACTATTGCTGGTACCTAAAACAAATTAGTGCTTACTCCCAGGGTTGCCATGAAGTCAAATGAAAACTCAGTGTAGAGGCTCAGGCACAGAGTCCTGTACATGCCACCTGGACCTCCCAGGGGTCCTCTGGGCCTCCTCAACCACCTCTGCCTAGTGGTCCTTTATTAGTAGAGAACCAGGGCCCATTCCAGGTTCAGCCTGCTCTGGAGAACAAGACCCCTGCCCCACAGCCCAGGGACCTGAGACTGTAGCTGGTCCCCAGGCAGATCTGGGAGTGCACAAAGCAGGAGGAGGAGATCCTGGGGTTTGGGCCTCTCTCTCCCGTCTACACTTCCAGCTGCACCGGAGGCTGGACCACGTGACACAGTAGGGGGCCGGTCCTGCACTGTGGGATCCCCGCCTTGCAGGCAGCCGAGTCCCTCGTTCCCCTGATGCTGCCCAGGTGTCAGCTCCACCTCCGCAGGCACGGTGCTGCCTGTTCCTTGGGCTTGAGACTGACCCTCCCTACGTTAGGGGGATGCCCTTCCAGAAGTGACATTCTGTGACTCTCTGGCCTTCTCCGGAGCAGCAGTGGTGCCAGTGCAGCTGCTGGGCCTGGGAAGGCAGAGAAGGCACCAGGGCTGTGGGGGTGGAAGAGGGCATGTACCATCCTGCCTCTCAGGTGTGGAGGAGGGGGTCGTGACAAGGAGGCTGTGAGAACAGCACAGAAGGAAGTCTGTGTACCCACAGACCACCAGAAATACACCCGGACAAAGCTGGATTTACTGCTCGTTGATACGAAGGAAGACACACACCTCAGGAAAGCGAGGGGTGTCTAAGAGTGTGACTGGGAGGTGACAGTGGGAGGGCCCTTTGCATGGACTTGAGTGGTGTGGGTGGGGGTGTGTGCTTGGGTGCACCCACATGGGTGTAGATGTGTATATGTGTGTGAGCAGGACTCTGACAGCGGGGTGGGTGCATGTTCGTGTGGGCAGGTGTGATGCCCCTTCTGAGACCTCGGACAAGTCTCAGAAGCAACCTGAGTTTAGGGTTCAAACTGGCCTGAGTTATCCCCAGTTGAGCTCCTTTCTGGCTGTGTGACCTTGGCCAGGTCACTTGCCCTCTCTGAACCCCATTCATCCCTTCCACAAGTACACCTTGAGATCTTGCTGTGTGCAGGGAGCAAACAAGGCAGAGAAGGTCCAAGCCTTCATGCAATTGGTGGTCTTGCCTCAGTTTCCCCATCTTTAAAGTGAGGGTGGCAATATCTGACTTCCAGGCAACATCTGTCAAATGCAGGGTATGGGGGGCCAACTGCTCAGTGGAGGTCTGTTTTCTTCCTCCTTCTGGAAACCTGGAACTGCATGCCCTCTTCCAAGGGACACAGCTCTCAGCTGCTGGATAGAAGGAGCCAAGCTCCCTCCACTTAAGGCACGACCCAGTTCCCAGACGGCCCTTGCTCTGTTGTGCTGGCGAGGGCCCTGGGAGGAATGGCGAAAGCATCTGGGATGGGTGGGTGAGACAGGGGCCTTGGCATTCCAAAGAGCTGGGCGCTTCTGGACAGTGGAGGGGCGCAGGTCTGGAGGACAAAGATCCTCTGTTGGCCCCCATCAGAGTCCCCCACACACACCCAGTACAGGCACCAGGCACCGACGTGGGATGGAAACTCCTCCAACAAGTTGGGACACCCTCTTTCTCTGGATGGGCGGGGCTCACGGGGCGGGGGACTGGGGATAGAGCAGAGGAGGTGGCTGCCAACCTCCCGCTGGGCAGTTGTTTACACCCAAGTGATGAGCTGGCTCTTGGCTTCATCACCTGCTCACCTGGCCAGGTGTGCCAGGAGAGGCTGGCTGTTCCTGTCTGGCCCCAGTCAGCATTCAAGGTTCCGGCCCCGCTGGGAGAAGGCACGAGACTGAAGGGGTGACCAGAAGAGGGATGACTGCAGGTCTCTGCTTAGAACCCGATGTCTGATTTCCTCTCTGCCTGATTTCTCTCACGTGCCCACAGCAGCCCTGGAGTGTGAGAAGCTGCAGTTCCCTTTGCAGGGGAGGCTGGCAGAGATTTAGGGCATCCCTGGCCCAGAAAGGATGATGCCCTGCAAGAGGGGTTGGTGGCCCCTCTTTTCCACATCAGGGAAGCGTTGGGGGTCTTGATAGAGGTGGCTGCCATCTGCCAGCCCAGCAGGTGGGTGAAGAGGAAGTAGTCTGCACCCGAAGTAGGGAGGACTCAGGTTAGACCCGAGAGAGTCGTTGAAGCCATAGAGGAGTTCTGGAGTCAGAAACGGATGCTTCCTTGCAGGACGTGCCTATGGTGGGGTTGGGAGGTAGAAGAAGAGAGGCCAGGACAGATGGAGGAAGGGGGTAGGTCCCCTCTCCCTCTTGCCAAGTGAAGAGCATATGGAGCCTGCACCCACCTACCCACCCACCCATTTCCCTCCACGTTGCCAGCCAAGAGAACCCAGGCCTAGGAGTTGCACTGTTAGAATTGTAGGGAGGTTGTGAGCGAGCTCCTTTAACTTCCCTGGCCCCAGAGTTTTCGTCTTCTGTATGATGGGCAGCATGTATCTGACTCTCAGGGCCTGGGTGAGACCAAACTGTGTACCAGGCACTTCGTATGCACCACATACAGTGTACCAGGCACATCATATGTGCCACGCACAGTGTACCGGGCACTTCGTATATGCCATGCACGGTGTACCAGGCACATCATATGTACCACACACAGTGTACCAAGCAATTCATATGTGCCATGCACAGTGTACCAAGCACATCATATATGCCACGCATAGTGTACTGGGCCCTTCATATGTGCCACGCACCCTTGTACATGATGCCCTTGGCTGCTGCTTCTGAGGCAGGCACCATTATAGACCAATTTTACAGATAAGGAAATTGGGGCTTAGAGTCCAAAGGAGACACCGGGTAGGGCAGGAGATGTCCCTCCCGTGGGTTCCTGTCCTCTTCCAGAGAGCAGGCAAGTGAGGCAGGTTCTCGGATTGTGGTATGCAGGAGAGGCTGACGGCTCAGCTTGAGCTTGTGCTGGCTCTGGCTTGGGGAGTTCTTGTTTTCCAGGCAGGATGTTCTCTCCTGGTCGCCTTCCAGAGTTTCATTTCTTTTTTTCTTTTTGGTTTTTTGAGACAGAGTCTCGCTGTGTTACCCAGGCTGGAGTGCAGTGGCGCAATGTTGGCTCACTGCAAGCTCCGCCTCCAGGGTTCACGCCATTCTCCTGCCTCAGACTCCTGAGTAGCTGGGGCTACAGGTACCCGCCACCGCGCCCGGCTAATTTTTTGTATTTTTAGTAGAGATGGGGTTTCACCGTGTTAGCCAGGATGGTCTCGATCTCCTGACCCTGTGATCCGCCTGCCTCGGCTTCCCAAAGTGCTGGGATTACAGGCATGAGCCACCGCGCCCGGCCCAGAGTTTCATTTCTTGAAGCAATGAGTCACAGCTGCAGAGTTGGTCTCCCCTAATAAGGATGTGGGAGCACTGGCAAGTAGGTTCCCGTGCCTGCTGTCCTCAGCTCACAGGGCTCAGTTCACAGCCGGCCCCTCCGCTGTCCAGGCAAGAGTGCTACTCTCTAGCCCTGTGGGTAGTTCCTGCTTCCTTGCATCG